GATGGGAGCGAAGGGGCCGAAATTCTCGAGCGACGACCGCGTGCACTCGTTCGTTCGGGCCTCCGGGGGATCGTCGACGTTGCTTTGCCCCGCCCAAGGGTTCCCAGTTCCCTCGTTCAGGTAAACTTGCCCCCTTCTCATTCCCTCGTTGCGATCCAGAGCCCGTGGGATCGAAGGCGCCCGCCTTTCAGAGCGACGCGAAAAGCGTCACCTACGTGAGAGCCGCGAGATCCTCGGTCGCGATCACCTGCGCCGCTCAGGCATCGCCACCCCCGACTCACAGGTAATTCTCTCTCTTTCCCTTCTTCTCTGTTCACGCGGCGGTGGCACGTAGAAAGGGGGAGGGAAGGGGTGAAAGCGTTTACCTTTGCGTTTTTTTTTTCTTTGGAACGTGAGAGCCGGCGGGTCGAGTGTCGCCCAAGTTTCCAAAGTCTGCCAAGTCGGACGCGTTCGAGGTGGCGAACGGCGCCGAGGTCAGTTTGTTGTGCGACGCCCAGGCGTTCCCTGCTCCCACGTTTAGGTCAGTGAACCTGGCGATTCCCACGTTTCGTTCGCCGCAGAGCCTGTGAACGGTGCCAAGCCGAGAGTCGCGTCCACCGCCAAGTACGACGTTCTCGCCAGCAACGCGGCTAGCCCGGTAACCATGCTTTGCCCGGCGCAGGGCCACCCTCTTCCAGCTTTTAGGTAAACGTCCCACCTTCGAGAATTCCCGAATTCGATCAATGTTCGACTCGTGTCCAGAGCCGGTGAGCGGCGCTGCCCCCAAAGTACCACCCACGGCCAAAATAACGGTCCTCGCTTTGCCCGCGGGCGGCTCCGTGGCGACCTTGTGTCAGGCGCAGGCGCACCCCTTGCCGATCTTCAGGTACGAGATTTCGACTCGACGAGACGCGATGAAGACACGCGATGACGAAGATCGATCGATCGGTTTCTTCTTTTTTTTTTTTTTTTTTAGAACCGGTCGGAAGTAGTCCTCCTCGATTGCCGCCTAGATCGAAATTCGACGGATTGGCAAAAGTACGGGGCCAAGATTTGACGTTACTGTGCGAGGCTCAGGCCGGTCCTCCGCCTTTGTACAGGTGAGACGATTCGTTCTTCGACGATTCGGTCTTCGTCTTCGCGCTCGTCCAATCTCCCCCCGCCCCCCCCTCCCCGATCTATCCCCGATTATTGCAGAGCCACGAGGTAGCGTGCGCCCGAACGTACGGGACAAGGACATGAGTGGATTGAAGAGAGACATCCTGGTCGATCTCACGGTGGGTCTGTCGTGTCCCGTTCAAGGCTATCCAGCCCCCACGTTCAGGTACGCGGTATTCGAAAATCGAGGGCGGGCGTTCTTTCGATTCGATTATTTCGAGCGGATCGCGGCGGTTGTTGCAGACAATTGACGGGCAACGTCGCGCCGCGTATAGCCGGTTACGAGGGCGGCAACCTGGTCGCGACGTTCCGGTAACGTTGATGGTGGCCCTGGACTGCACGATCCCCCGTCCAGTGGCAAGGTATCCCTCCCCCCCCCCTTCTCTCTCTCTCTCCTCCATTCGCGAACG